AAAGCAATTCTTTGTGTCTATAAAGCACATAAATGTATTTATCATTTTATCTATCTGATAGTTTTACCAAGTGCTTATTTCATTTTGTATGAAAGTACATGAAGAAGAAATTCTAGAGTCGACGCATGATTTATGATGTACTTCAGCTCTTTAGCGTGAATACGACCTTTAGATTGGCACAGTTGACACTAGGCCAAGACTTAGCGTTAACGAGAGACTTTTACAATAATGCGTTCGAGCTCTGATGATTTCCATCATATGACGGACAAATGGACTGCCCATTTTCAGTGAGAATGTCTTGTCGACTGCGTCGACCTGAACGTTGTATTGCAGCCAAACAGCTGCAGTAAACCGGCAATCAACCGTCGTCTTCTGGTTAGATCGACTTTTGAATATCTTCTTCATGCACATTCAACAATGTCATCTCGGGAGAGTCATCAAAACCCAGTCGCTCATCCTATTTCCAATTCACATCCAGCACTATCGGCCTCCTTTTCAGCTAATCGAGTAGTCTGTTTTCATGTGCTCTCTCTCTCTCAAACAGTGGCAAAATTATGCTTCTAATATTTTAAAGTATGTTCCAAATGATAGAGAGAGAGAGAAAGAGAGAGTATGTGTGTGTGTGTGTGAAAATAGATCCCTTTATAAGAACTCGAGACAAGTTAGTTCGCTTAGGGTGCATGAAAGTCTGCTATTTGGGTTATACACGATGGAATTAGTAGGAGACCTCACAATGCAATTTAATTTTCCCAAGCCTTGCCTACTAAAAGTCTTCCTTATTCACACTCGACTGCAGTTTTATCCTCGCCCGTGCCTCATCAACAGACCCAAAAAGCTTCAAATCCGGGCCGGGTCTTCAGGGCAAGCAATACTTTTTCCATACTTCTATCTTCCAAGTGAGGCTGCTGATAGTTAGAAAACCCAATCGTGTGGTTACAGGCAATATCGTCGATTTCAATCTACACAACACATGCTTCTGTGTTGTGGCAGTGCGTAAAATTGCTGCCAATGAGACGATGAGGTGAGGTGGAAACTTTTTTGTGGGCAGAACCGGATGAAGCGAAGTGGAATCCTGAGTTCGTCTCATCATTTAATCGTGTGAAATTCAACTATCAGTCAATAAATCACCACAAATTAATCAAGACATATTTAGTTCTCTTAAAGTATCCTCGGCAAACCGGTCGCAAATTGTAATTTGCCTATTATCGCAGTACTAGCTAGTGATTTGGTCAAATCATTCTTCAACATTTTAGTATGGATGGGATTTTTAAAAAGAGAGATTTACAAGGAAATTTGATTTTTTTAATACTGAAGGCCCATTTTCCCGTTTTGTTTAGACCACATCCCAAAGATCTATCTACCATGTTCAATTATGTCATCGCAATAAGGTAGAACGAATCTGCTGAAGCATGCAAAAAAGTAATTCATTTGGACAGAACAGATCGTTCAGTTATCATAGGAATGCGTCATTATCACCAGTTAAACGGGTGATGGTAGCGGATGACTATATTACTTGTAAAATATAAGTAGTAAAACGAAATTGTTAAAGAATGCAGGCAAGTATTTTGTGTTGGCAGAAGAGAACGTTTTTTGGTCATAGGCAGCCGTCGTTATCACCAGTCCAACCTTCTTGACCTATTTTGTGACACAGTGGACGATGATGCGGACCAATGCCGATAACTATTAAACGATTTCTTTTCACCATATTTCACAAATAATACGAATAAACATAACCGTTCAGTGGTCATAATCATCTGCCACCATCATCGGCCAAACCTGTTGGCTGCCATTTCACATAAAAATGCAAAAAGTGTGGTACGAATTGCAAATGGATGCATCTCGGCTATTTGTAGTGGAAATTAAGTTGGCGTAAGGCTTTTGAAGGGTCCAGCCGAGGGTCGATTCGTCTCTTACATGGTCCCAAGTGAAGTCGATCATCGGCCGGTTCAGCTCGAAGGCATGGGTCAACTCCATGTTGAGAATGCGCGGAAACACGTAAAGCAGACTTTTGCCGGCGTGCAGAACGTGCATGCTATGGTCGAAAATCAAATGAAATGGAAATATGTCAAAGAAGACATGAGTAGGTATTCGAAGCACATCATCCTTGGTAACGTTGGAGCGCGCATTTTCAAATTGGATGCGATAGATGCAGTGCGAGACCGCCTTCTTTTCATTAATAGCGACAATCTGTGAAATAAAAAGGTTAAAGAGTAAAAGTGGTAGTATCTGTAATTTAAGCAAATGTAATTGTTTACATCAACTTTTGCCAGCAAATAGCACCCAAATAGACGGACCGGAGAGGCGACCATCACTTATCGCATTAGGTCTACTTAAAATGGGAGTTAAATGCAAATGCTACCAAAAGTAATGATAAATGATTTATTTTGTGACCTATCCCAAGTAATTGGGGCGATACATTGTTTAGTGTTTACAAAGTCTGCTTTGAACTCTTGAAAAAAGCACAAAGTAGATTGCATGAATAAGTCGCATGGAAAGTTGGTCATTTGTATCGTAATTCCGAATCGCAACTTTATTGGTTCTTTTTTAAGGAATGTCAAGAGAGAAAGATTTTAAAATTATATTAAATGCCACATATTTACGACGAATTTCTTATTCGCCTAATCACTTTCGGTCTTGTAGTCACTCAACTAGACTCTTTGGGTGGAGCTAATTGACAAAATGTTTCAAACTCCTAAAAGGAATTGAGTGTAAAATCGAAAAATAGTCATCAAAGGTGTAAAGATCAAGAGTCTGTGATGTTTTACATGATCGCAGAATCCTTTCGTTGGACACGACATGTTTGACCTTGCTTTGGCCGGAATGCATTGTATGCATGATCATTTCCAAACTCTAACTACGGATTTGGTACATTTTCAGACGTTTCGCCAGCATCGTCACTGCCATTTTTTGCACCACAACGCAACTCGTCAAGGAGACAAGTGAAGTAGTCCTGGTGCATTCATCTTTCCTACATTCTCGTATCACACCCTTCACTCTCGCAACTTTTACATGCTTACATAAACCCACTATTGGTGTGTCCTCTTCATCCAGATCCAATCAAAGTCTCCTTGTCTCGTAAGATGCAGTTACAATGTCCGTGCCTCAAGTCTTTGATACCACGTGTCCTCCAGTCTGTCTGAGCAGACCCATAAACGTGTGGATTCTCAATTGGCACGGAAGCCGAACTTGCTGCTGTACATTCCCTTTACACTATTCGGCATATGCACCAGATAAATCTTGTTTAAAAGCGCTTACTTCCCGGAACACGTCTATGATGAAACTCGTCTACTGTTGGATCGTTGATATGAAAATTAAGATGGTGTCATCTGCTGCTTGGTCGCAGTCTCCTCTAGCTTGATAGTGTTGGTTCACTCTTGTTTTCGCAACTTGATCGGAGCGCTATGGAAACCTTGTGGAAGGTACCTGATCCCGTTTCATCTGTCAGAGTATTCCCGATTTCCAGCATTGGGCCATTGACTTGGTACATTTCCAAATGCACAGAGTTGAAACTTTGCAAAGTGACATGTAAACGCAATACGCTTGACCGATTTTCTGTTCTACCGTCTACTGTTGGGCAAATTAGTTCTTGTCTCCGCCGTATCTCTTACGTTTTTTTACCCAAACTGCCTAGTCTATGAGTCTACAATGCCAGCTTTAAATCTTATATCGTAGACATAAAGACCAAGATAGTGTTGGTCGCAGTCTTCTAAATGTTATGTTCGTTTACATGGTTTGTCTAGGCCCATTATAGACATTTCTTGTCTATCCATTCTTGCTCTGTGGCCCTTTCATGATTCCGATTTCGCCCTATTTTTCCTGATATTTGTGTTCTCTGATCTGCTCCCAGGTCGCTTGAGCAATAAGCCAAGATTTTGCTAATCCTGCCCTCTTCAAGCCTCCTCCTCTTCGTCATATTTTATTCAGTCACGATATCGATGGCCTCTCGAATCTTGCGTTTTGCTTTATTTTCTCCAAATGCAGCCAGCAAACAGTAAAAAGGGAATCCGCAACGTCATGTTGGTTTTCAATGAAGCTTGATAATCCATACGTTGAGGACTTGATTAGTAATGCTGGTGGATACGTGCCATGAAAGGCTTGAGGCAGAATGTAGGACAGAACATTTTGAGTAGATCGGATATGAAGAGAGTGATCAAAAAAAATCACATGGATCCTACTGGATAAGAAGAAGACGATAATAGGACCTGGCGGAAGAGGATTGTGGACCAAAAGGACAGTCTTGGATTAACACTGCCGGCATAGTAGGGGGGGTGAGAAAACCAGTGGGGAGTGTGAATAATTGTAAGGATTACTTCCATTTCGAGTAGAAGGCCAAATAGGCCAGATGTAGAGTATATATACCACTTTTTAGGGATTTGTCGGTGAGTTTTCTTGACTCGTAAGCTTGAATTTTGTTATGACGATGATACCTTGCTCTGATTATGTCCGATACATGATGGACGAAAGCTCAGCACA